AAGGCACTTGTTACTACTAGCGTGGCACTTGTTACTACTAGCTTCTTGTTACTAATAGTAAGGCACTTGTTACTACTAGCGTGGCACTTGTTACTACTAGCTTCTTGTTACTAATAGTAAGGCACTTGTTACTAGTAGCGATGCCAGGAGCCCCTAGTAGCTTCTTGTTACTAGAATTCATAGAACTCATGTGAGCGCGACCGAATGAATTTTTAAAAGACAGCCTTGGAATTTGGACTTGTAATGTTTCCTTGCTCCGCCGATTGGTACTTCTTGGCTTCGTCGTTTGCCGTCAGAAAACTGCTCCAACCTGCTCTCTTCCGAACACGAAGGTGTTTTGAACGTCGTGGTGGGCTCCGATGCGGTGTCATTGAGGCGCTGAAACAGGAGTAGTGAACGTGTTTGTTTATTTATTTGTTGTGTGTGTGTTTTCTTTTTAAGAATCATTTTGATTTTCCTTTGATGTAAGAGTTGGACATGCCTGACTAGCTAGTGTCACCAAGCTCATTGTTTGGTACGCATTGACATGTGATTGGAGGCCGGGTGAGATCCTCACGAATCACGACTTGGCAGCTCGGTGCGGTTGTTCCAAACAGCAGATTCAGCCTTTAAACGAGCATTTGTTTGGTTGAATTCACAGATTCTTGTTCTACCGGGAGATGAGATGAATTTAGGGAGTCTGCACCACCTATTGCTTGCTATTAGGTTGGAGGCCATCGCTAGTAGGAACCAAATCACTAGTGCGAGCGTGAGCTATCCTGCGTCCATATGTAGTAGCTTAAGTAGCTACTAGCTACCTCTCCCTTACTTAATTAAGTAGGGAGGGGGGAGCGGGCTATGTTAAAAAAAGGTGCAAACACATTTTTGCTATTAAGGATTCTCTTTCTGTTGGCTGTCGCCTTTGCGGTCAGTCGGTCAGTCATGGCTTTCAAGCCTGTGGAGCAAGTCACCCTAGAGCCGGTCACTAAGGCGATCATCCGAACAACGTTTCTGTGGGGATGTGGGATGTCTTGTGTTTTCCGATGACTCAGGTTGAAAGTTTACTAGTAGTAACAATGTTTGCTATTAGGAACGAGTGCATCGCTACTAGGAACAAGTGCCTTACTACTAGGAGCAAAGGACGCTACTAGGAGCGTCCTTTGCTCCTAGTAGCGATGCACTTGTTCCTAGTAGCGATGCACTCGTTTCTAATAGCAAACATTGTTACTAGCTTCTTGTGTTTTCCGATGACTCAGGTTGAAAGTCTAAATCGAGGCCCAGAGACTCCCGGATCTGCCGTTGAGCATACTTGGTGTTTTTCCCTCGCTAGCTGCCTCGGGCGTCCGAGGGTCGTCTCAAGCACTGAGGTGCGGAAAGTGGTTTTTACTGGCTCCACGGCCATTGGAAGTAAGGCGGGCTGCCGCGGTGGGCCAAACACCCAACTTTGTGAGCTTAGGGCTAGGCGCGTTGCTGTATATATAGCAGCGTCCTTGTTCCTAGTAGCGATGCCAGGGGCCCCTAGTAGCGTTCTTGCTCCTGTAGTCCTTTTTTAGACAAAAGTCTGGGTGGTAGTATGATCCATATAATATACACATGCATGATCAAACACATGTATTGGTTGACCCTTTTTAGGAAGGCCTGCGATGCCACCCAGTGGACATATTGCTGTCTCTTTGGTTCTCTTTCTAACCATTCTTATTCTCAAGACACTAACTTATTTTATGAACTATTCCTAGATCGTCAAACTTATTTTTAGTGCTCTTAAGGCGCTCTAACGTCTTTTTAATGCATCAGAAGGGGCCAATTCTCCCCTCTTTGGCAGTTCCAACTCTGCCAAACAGATAGCAAGTGCATCCGCTAAGTTCGTGGAAATCTAGGAACGCCATCCTTCCAAGTTGTTGTTTTTCATTCTTACCGCACATGCTTGCTTGATCACGGGCCATGATATCGCCTTGTCATGTGCTAACCTTTGACATTCCCTTCTTCCGGATCCCAAAAATAACACGTGGGGAAAGATCTGCCTCAAATGACATGCGAGCTGCGCCAGGTGATGGAAGCTTGTGCGAACAACTTCAAGCGTGTCCTCCTGGAATTGGGAGGTGCCAAGGGTGTTCAGGTGTTCCCTGGGTGTTTTGTGGGTGTTCTGGGTGCTACTTGTAGAGGTGTTCATCTCTTCCAACTTCCTGTAACGGTACCCCACGGTACGCAACGGTACCGGGTTTAGGTGAAGGGCGTCGGGGGTCTGAAGAATCCGGAATTCGAGGTGTCTAGAGGGGCATGCGTCGCTTGGATGGGACGGTGTGCTCGATAACATGACCTTGGTGAGCGGATGGTTGCTGTTTGCGAAATATGTACAAAACTTGAGGAATGATCTTGGAGTTGGCAAGCCAGTGCCTAATTGAACAAATACTAAAACACTCTTTGGAAAGCTCCGATTCATATGACTTTGAGTTGGTGGTTGAGGAACAAGATAAAGAAACCAGGTTCGATCAGGCGTTACAAAAACCGCCAGGCAACGACCCGGCGATGCTTGGCTGCATTGCGATACTTCTCACAGAAGACCAACCACCTGAGACAAAAACACATGTGTATATATATATATGTATAATATATAGTAGTAACAAGAAGCTAGTAGTAACGGTGTCTTACTAGTAGTAACAAGAAGCTACTAGGAACAGGTGCCTTACTAGTAGTAACAAGAAGCTACTAGGAACAGGTGCCTTACTAGTAGTAACATACTCACAGACATGTTTCTATCCTTTCCTGGAACCAAAGGCCATCGCGCGCCCAACTTGGCAGATCTGTCACAATTAGGTTGGAGGCCATCGGCAGTAGGTTGGAGGCCATGGCTCTTAGGTTGGAGGCCACAGGAGGCCATGATATACTATTAGGTTTTGGGCCATCGCTCTTGGGTCGGAGGCCATCACCAGTAGGTTGGAGGCCATCGCTACCAGGTTGGAGGCCATTGCTAGTAGGTTCCTCTGTCGCCTCATGTGTTCCGCTCTGGACGGCAGTCCGTGCCTGCCACCAAATGTTGCTCCCTGTCAGTGCGTACTGTAGTCAAAATCTCACTTACAAAGTAGGAAACAGACCCTTTATGACAGTTAATAGTGGTCAAGGCCAAGGCTGACGTGTTTTGAATGTCTATTTGCTGCACTTGCTGGGTTTTGAGAACCTTTATTCACAGTTTTTTGAAGCCAACCCCCTGGAGGTGAATGCTCTCTGCTTGCTAAGGATTGTACGAGAGGACGCTGACATTGAAAAAACGGCCGAAGGCCTCTTCAAGGGAGCGTAGCTTGGGCTGAGATTTGTAAGGTCAGAAGTTTAGTTAAGAGAGCGGTCTTGTTTTTTGTACTGAGGACCTAAGGCCTTTCTGAACTTCTTGTTATTTATCATCAGTTGGTTTGATCAGATGCCCAACACATGAGTTTCTCAAGCAAGGGTATAAATGTTCTCAGAGAACCTACTTGCTAATTCTTGCAATCCAACTTTGCTCATGGAGTTCTACCACTGCACAAGTTCAGATGACTCATTTGCTGATGCAACACACCAGGTGGTTTTTGATGACTAGTATGTGGCGATGTTGTGTGGATTGCGACCAATCTCCTTCTGCTCGATGGCCTCCGTGGCCTCCAACCCAATAGCGGTGGCCTCCAACCTAATCCCCTTCTCACAGTCCAGCGAACAGCTGTGTCGAATTGCTGAGGTTCTTCAACAATGGACAAACTTGCTGCGCTGCCAAGCGTATCTACGTCCAGGCCATCTTCGCTTCGGGTCCCTGAATCTAGAATCCAAGGTTTGAGCTAAGTAAATTAATAGTAGTAGCTTCTTGTTACTACTAGTAAGGCACTTGTTACTAGAAGCGATGCACTTGTTCCTAGTAGCTTCTTGTTTCCAATAGCTTAGGACCGAACTCATTGGTAAAATCCCGAAGTGCCACATGGAGCTTGATCCGGAGCAAATACAAACAGCCGGTTAGGGAGGTCTGATGTAGGTGGGCAGATTTCTGTTGCGATTTACTGGTCTGTTTTGGACAGAGATACCTAAGCGGCGAAATTGGAAATGCACGTGAGATGACAGCAGGTGTTCAACTGCCAGGTGTTTAGGGAGGTGCACATATCAAGAAGTGTACCAAGTTCCAAAGAAAGGGGACGCGAAGCCCTGTGGCAGAAAAGACCTACAACCTGCGGTTTCGACCCGCTTCCATATTTTTCTCAGTTCTTGTGCTCTGAACGAGAACTGAGACTCACATAACGGAAAGTAACTCCATCGACCACGAGAGCTTTGGGCATCGCTTGTGTCACGACGCCAGAAGCTGCTTTTGTATGGATGTCTTCCAGCTCTCTTTCCAAAAGCCGTCCAAGCTCTCCCCCCAAATGCTGTGAAGTAGAATGCACTGCGTTCTCCTTCCTTTGATGGCATTTCGACTTCCTTGTCAGCCATGTACTTGAATGCGCGCAGGAAAAGATCTACGACGCATTTGTGGAGGCCAGATGTTGTGCGGCACCTCAATAGCCTTGGTATCCCAGTGAGGCTTTCCATTGACACGACATCTAGCAGGCTGGGTTTGCCAACTAGGTGACATTGCCTTCACGGACAACTTCCAGTCTTACAATAGTAAAACAACCATTTTCAGTAGTTGTATAGAACTACGAGTAGAGTCCTGTGCAGTTTTAGCTGAAGTTTTAGCTTGGTCTATGGAAGAAACCACCCAAGAAGGCCTAACTTGGAGCTTCCCGGGCTCCGCCGCTCCAGGCCTTCTGCAAACGTGCGCGGATGGCAGTCCTGGGGAATGGCCTCTCAGCCACTACGGAGTTGGGGCCTTTGGCGCCTTGGACGAATCGTTTTTTTCTAGGGGGGTAGGCCGCTAAGAGGTAGTAGCTAGATAGCTAGTAGAAGAGGTAGCTGGTAGGTAATCATTTGGTTTCTAGATGTTTAGGGACACTTAAGCAGCAACGTTTGAATGGTGAATAGGTGGGTGGTGTGTAGTTGGACGGAGTTCAGATGAAGAACCGACGTCAGAGATGGAGTTGCGGTTTTAGATATGAGATTTTCTCGCACTCCTAGGTTCTTTGAATATTCTTCTTAGACGAAGCGGATTTTGTTTGTGTAAACCGTAAACCTCCAAACAAGCTGCTTCTCAAAAGCTTTTGTTTTGACTTGATAAAGCTCAAACAAATCTCAGAATCACTGCTGAGACACAAGGGATGAAGCAAAGGTGCTTGTATCAACCGGGGTGTTGAGTATCAAGGCAAGCTCCATGCTGTGCATGGCCTCCACATAGTGTTCTCTTCAAGATGAGAATGGTGTTCCTAGTAGCATCCTTGCTCCTAGTAGTACGGCCAGGAGCCCCTAGTGGCGTTCTTGCTCCTAGTAGCGACGCCCTTTGCTCCTAGTAGCGTCCTTCCGTGTAACGAGTAGCTGCCGGACTCTGGTGCCTTTACCTGAGGCGAGTGCAGTGCAGCTGAAACATGTGACTGAGTTGGTTGAGGAGATCCAATGGGAGTTCAAAACCATCAGAAACTCAGATCGAACCGTTATGCGTAGAAGTGGAGCTGGTTGAGTGCAAGGTGGGGGCTCACTGCTCCGAATCACAAAACCCGTGCAAGCTTTGCCTATTAGAGTGTTTGATCTGAAGAGTGCTGGAAGTGGCTTTTAGGTCTTGTAATCCTGAATCAGAGAAAGTTTCTAATAGCTTCTTTGTTACTACTAGTAAGGCACCTGTTACTACTAGCGTGGCACTTGTTACTACTAGCTTCTTGTTTCCGAACAAATCGTGCAACATTTACTTTCGAGACATGGACAGCAGATGTTTCTCAACTCTCCTAGTAACAAGTGCCACGCTAGTAGTAACAGGTGCCTTACTAGTAGGAACAATGTTTGCTATTCGAATTAAATATAAAATTAGTTTAACTCTAATTTGTTACTACTATATAGTAACAGTTTCTGACCAGGATGCTCGCCGCAAGGGTGGCCGCGTTCTGTGTGGTGGGGGTGTGCCTTGGCGCTTTCTTTCGCTAACTGCTACTAACTTTCTGCCTTGTCCAACACGCAGTTTTGCTTTGGCTTTTGCATCCAAACATCGCACCGCTCCCGGATGGACACTCTGCACCGATGCTCGCTGCCTAGGCTACAGCAGGGCCTCCAGGAGATGTGAGCAGCTGGGCTTGGAGCTGGGTGGTGGGGATGCAGAGAGTTGGTTCACAAAGTCGATACACTGGTCGAGCACGACGGTAGGGCGTAGGGCGGTGCGAGATTGGAAAGACACTTCTGGACGGATCAACAAAGGGCATCGCTACTAGGAGCAAGGACGCTACTAGGGGCTCCTTGTTCCATTCATCCCCACCTCAGACAGGTTTGTGCGTGAATGGAGAACCTTTCACACACCAGTTCACCCACCCACTCAGTTTGCACGAGCATCACATGGCGTCACAACATGGCATCATGGGATCACTTCGCTGAGGCTCCAACACGGGACTCTTCTACCTCCCCACCATCGTCGTGGACGTCGCGGAGGCCGAAGAACATCCTGCCCTTTGAGAGCCTGAGTTCCAAATGGCCTCCAAACTTCTAGCCTACTACAGATGGCCTCCGAGCTACTAGTGACGGCCTCCAACGTACTAGCGATGGCCTCCAACCTACTAGTGTTGGCCTGTAACCTCCTAGCGCTGGCCTCCAACCTACTGGTGATGGCCTCGAACCTATTGGCGATGGCCTCCAACCTACTAGTGTTGGCCTGTAACCTCCTAGCGTTGGCCTCCAACCTACTGGCGTTGGCCTCCAACCTATTGGCGATGGCCTCCAACCTAATAGCATTGGCCTCCAACCTAATCGCAATCTGAGTTGCAACCAAGCTGGGATGACAAGGACATTTTGCCCTCCACTCCGACTGTGCCAAGTGTCCCACCTGCATGGGTTCATGCTTCGCCTGTCAGGGCACCCGGATCGTTGACGAGGAACAGTTTGGGCCTGTAGTGCCTGTGATGCCCTACAAGGCACGACTCTCGCAAAGCTGTTTTGGACGATCCAAGAGAACATCAAAATATATTACAGGAAGCTACTAGGAACAAGTGCATCGCTAGTAGTAACAAGTGCCTTACTAGTAGTAACAAGAAGCTATTAGAAACAAGTGCCTTACTTGCGTGAAAGCTTCTCAACAGGACGACGAGGAGGCGATCCTTCGGGCAAACAGCACGAAGTACGGCCTGGGCGCCTCCATTTGGAGCGAAAACTTGGAGAAGGCAACGTGACCGCCACCCTAGTAGCAATGGCCTCCAACCTAATAGCGTCCTTGTTACTAGTAGCTTCTTGCTCCTAGTAGTAAGGCCAGGAGCCCCTAGTAGCGTCCGTGCTCCTAGTAGCGTGGCACTTGTTTCTAATAGCTTCTTGTTACTACTAGTAAGGCCAGGAGCCCCTAGTAGCGTCCGTGCTCCTAGTAGCAATGGCCTCCAACCTTTGCTAGTGATGGCCTCCACGAGAAGGCAACGTGGCAAAGCGCTTTTGCCGATCGTGTTCAGCGCGATGTGGGATGATCAGATACAGCAATGGTTCATTGGCTGCAAAGGTCATCAAGGATGGTGCTTCACTAGTTATTTGATGCCACCTGTACCTTGTCTCCTTGTCTGATTAATGTCACTTTTGCTGTACTCCTAGTCCTGGCCCATGAAGTTCAGGTTCACTGGTTTACTGTTTTGCAAAAGTGCTGTAAAGTTCGAATGATTGGCAATGGCTGATAATGGCCTAATGTGACAGCCTTGAAGTTGATGGCACAGTTTTGCGCTGCATAACATCAACTCTTGTGTGTATATTTCCCCCCTTTGCATTTGCACAAGCTCTTGGTTCATCACAGAGCCTTTTGTCATAGGCGGGGACTTCCTGACAAAGAATCCAACACACCCAGTGTCTCGGTTTGCCGTTGCTGTCCACCCAAATCGGTGTCGTTCACGCAGGCCAATGAGATTGCCAATCGGTTGAAGGCCGGGAAAACTGCTTTGATCACTTCTCGTTGTCAAACCTCAAGCGGAGAAAGCAGAGAACCGTTATTTAAATATATGTATATAATATATAACTAACTCGTCCGATGAGTTGACCGATCGACGGGGACCTGGACATGAAGAATGTCAGATGAGATCAGTGAAAAAACTGCCACTATATAAAGACTAGATATCGAGATTGTTCTATCCCGGATATATCGATTTAACTGTATACACACCTGGATGATGCTTTAGGCGAGGATGGACTTTGCTCTACTCTCCTCTCAAACAGAAGTTGCCGCAAGAAAGATGCTTGCATTTTGACTCGATTTCTACTAGGGGCTCCTGGCCGTACTACTAGGAACAAGAAGCTACTAGGGGCTCCTGGCCTTACTAGAAACAATTACTGTTCGAAATTATTCAGCGCAGCAGAACTATCGGATTCCGTACGGAGGCGGGCACCGTTTGGGTGAACAAGCACTGCGAGTTCATCCGCAACGCACCCTTCGGCGGCATCGACTCCTCGGGCATCGGACGCGCCGGAGACCTGGGCGATCAGGACGAGCGTCTAACGATGACCTCAATTTATTTTAATTCTAATAGCATTCTTGTTACTACTAGTAAGGCCAGGAGCCCCTAGTAGCTTCTTGCTCCTAGTAGCGTGGCACTTGTTTCTAATAGCTTCTTGTTACTACTAGTAAGGCCAGGAGCCCCTAGTAGCTTCTTGCTCCTAGT